ATGGTTGACTAATGGATGCTGCTTCAATAACAGCAATCATGGAATGGCTGCTAACAGGATCAATGGCAGGATGGTACGCTAAAATGAATGACTCATCCGGCAATGGCATGTGTTTCAACGGCTCTGACCACTATCCTCCTAGGAATGCTACCACTAAAAAACAGGAATGAAAATCGCCATGCTCTGTGTGTTCGCACTAAATGATGTTGCAGGTGCTATTAACATGTTTAGCTTTTCCTTTACGCTTTTTCGTTATTTTTTATTATGTTTTTAGCACGCACGGAATGCAATCATTTCAAAGCTACAAGGCTGAAAATTTGGTAACTTAATCTACATGCATGCACGAGACCCTATCCCCAAAATGTATGGATTCCACGTACGGGCCCGTGAATTTTTTTGCGGGTGAGTTGCTAATTCCAGGATCTGAAAAGTTAAGAAGATGGAATTTTAAGGTGATGCCCCCAGTTCACGTACAATCAAATTTTAAGGTGAAACCTAAAAAGCTAGAAAAGCAAATTTCTAAGAGAATTTTTTCTCATTGTCGTGGTGGCCATTCCCAATTCTTTTAGCTGGAAGCATCTGCCGAAAAACCGGTGCCGTTAGGGACAAAATCCTGAAGGAAACTAGGCAGAAAACGCATCTTCGCACCGGCAGTCGGTGCGCTGGCCAATTATTATTATAATTGTTGAAATGGTTATTTAAAGATTCATAAGTATTAATTTCGAATCACTGGTAATTCGGACCGGATGTACAAGACGCCTCCCTAGAAGCAGAGAGGCGAAATACAATAAAGACCGGATCAAGCAGAGAACTAAAACAACGTAAAAAAGCTGCTTGAAAGTATTTCAAAAACGAAGGCTACTTGAAATCTCAGGAATTATTATTAACAAGACCGCCAGGAGCTCCCAATAAACCGATACCAAGATTCTCCTGTGAAATTTGCGTCAGTCGGCTTCCCTTCTACCACAAATGTCCAGTTACAGTTTGCGTCACATATTTACTTACTGGGCAAGGTGAGGGGTCATTATTTCATGCATATAGCTCTCATAACACCACATTCTTTACACGAATGAAAAAAAAAACATGTTATCCGAGAAGCGGAGTAATTTAGCTGCTTGTCATTAATGTTAAAGCCACAATTACCATCCGGTAATACTGGATCCCTCATCGCTTTCTCTGGTGGCCGGCAAAAATTGAAGTGGAAAAACGTGGTCGCAGAGACTCACAACACAGCTCATCAAAAAAAAAAATCCCCGCGGTGCTTCGCAGTGAATTCATTCTTATTATATCTTATAAAATATGCGATCAAAATGAAGACGTTTGACCAGTCTCTCGTAAATTCAATCCATGCCGGCGCAACTGTTAGGACACAAACGAAAGCCTTTCTGAGTTGCACAGTCGTATTAAAAACAACTATAAATTTAAAGAAACACGCTATACGCTTGCTCTTTTTCTACGAAAATCAAGGAAAAAAGAGGACTTACTTTAGCAGCAACTTTCGTTTTACGTGGTCTTCCGCGTTGTCCAATTTTCCGCATTTTCTTTGATGGCGCATAATCAAAATCAGGCGTGGGCCATTTGGAGCTGCGCCCCGATGAGGTATTGTGTTCCGCTGAAGCTGCAGACGATGCCGCAGATCGTTTCCCTTTGGTTTTTATCGAGCAGTACTCTTGCCATTTGCGACGCGTTGTTGGTCCAGCCCTAAAAACGAACATAATTCAGGACTAGACCAACAACAAAAGTAACAAGTAACGTTTGGCACAGTGAGTTTTTTTTTTTAATGGAAGAAACAACAGCTCAAGCTATCTATAAGCTTTGGCTTGAAATTACCCAATGGATAACTATTTCAGCTCCAACGCAGTTTTTTTTTTTTTTTTTTTTTTTTTTCCAAAATCATAATTTGTTAAAATTCTTCCCTCAGCAAAGACCTTTACCTCATCAATATGAAATAAAATTATTACCAACATCTGGAAAAACATACGCGTAATCTTCGTCATCCGAAGCATCGGAATTCTGCTGCTTGTTTCTACGGTGCATCGGACTTGCAGATCGTTCACAAGGTGTGTGACTTCGTCCAGCGGTTGTTGGAGTACCACCATGATGACCCTGGACAGTAACTGAACTATTTGTTAGAGACGCGCTCGATTCACGGGACCAGCTACGGAACGTTTCTCGTGATGTTTTGCTTGATGTAGACGAACGTCGACTTCCCTCCGAACCATTGCCCTGCTTCAGCGATGGATTTCGTTGTAACAGAAAATATTTTTCGAGCTAAAATTAGACGTGCGTTGCAGGAGAACTCTCAAACAGTAAGACAAAATCCTCAAATTATGCTACCAAAAATGCTTCCTTTTCCCTTTCTTTCTCCTCAGAATAAGGAAATTTTACAGGGTAAAATAATGAAATTTTTAAGGGCTCGCAATTCAACACAAACGGAGAAAAATTTCAGATGTCGATGAGGACTCAAAATAAAATCGAAATCAAAGCGAGAAAATTTTCCCGCCAATACAAGATTTAACATCCTTGCAAAATCATAAAAACAGAACTAGTGTCGCAGCCACGCATGGGTTTCTCACACGTTGTTATATGATTATGTAGGCGAAAATTTGTACACCTATAGAATTCCAATGATGAAAAAGCTCAAAAAAAAAGTACTACAGCTTTAGGGTGTGCAAATCAGAATGAGGGAGAGAGAGATACTTTTGCTCGATTGATGGTATGATGGTAATAGGCCACATAATTGCTCGTCCATGAGCAAGCATTATCGCAGTGCTTCATCTCATACACATCCAGAATTGCTGATATATCTGAAACAACACCACATGCATGCACTGTCCCAGTGAGTGGTAATTGTAGTAAATGCTTTACGAATCACAGAAAACGGGGTTCCCAGAACAAAAAAAAATAAATGGGTACCATTTAAATGTCGGTCGGTGATTGTTCGATTCGGCATGCTGTATGGCTTTGTTGAGATAATTCGCGTACCATCTTTCAGCTCACTGAGCAGTTCCCTTCAAAAGTAATTCATTAAGAACTTAGGTAATTTTTTGCTACTGGTTCTGCTGTGCTTAACAGGTTTACCGCTCGGCTACTAATCATAGTTTCCTTTACTCTATTCTTAATCATAATAAACTTTTATAACTGCTGTTGCATCGCTGTTTCACCAAAAAGCTGAACTGCGGTAACTGGCTTAATCAATGCAAAATATCCACATTCTACGGATTTTTATTTACCTTTTGAACTTTTTTAACAATTTCCACCTTTTTAGCTAATGCTTTGGGAAACATGTAACACGCACGCACACACATATCCCATGATACAAGCTCGGTACGCACTTCCACTCCCACCCCCTCTCCAGGAGAAAAATCTTGGGAGATAATTCTCAAACTCCCACAAGCAAAAAGAAACATACCGTTTTATGCGCGTTTCTAAATCAGCCGTAAATGCATAATTATTTATAAGAATGATTGTTGCTTCTTTGGTGATAAGATCGCGGAATTTCTCATCCAGAAAATCCCCTTTGTGCAATTCAAACGGCCGAAACTTTTTGCCATACCATTTCATCCACCTAAAATCAACAGAAGAGAAATAAAGAAAATTTTTCACTGAAAATTTGCACAAAAAGCAGACGATTCGCTTAAAAATTTTTTAATTTGCTTCATTACCTTTTTCGGGTTCTAAAAATAATTTTTTCACTCTTTAAAATATTTTTCATTATCTAAAGTTCAAATTGGAAAGCAGCCCATCAACTTTCTTTTGAACATGAGAATTTCTGCTTTTTATTATGCGCTGTTACCGCACAGTGCTGTAGCGCTGCTCTATTGAGCAAAAACGCATATTGTTGCGAATGGTTCGACTGTGTGTGTGTTTGGAAGAGAGTGAACTTTGTCACCATTTTCAATTTAGCAATCAGGAGAGCTGGGAAGCTGAAGCTTTGGAGGCATATTCCCATTAGACGGTTTTAAAATCATAGCTTATGCGCGCCTAGATCTCGCCTGTGGACCCTCGAAATGTAAATTTATTTGGCAGAAAATGACTCCATGAGTCAGACAGCATGGAAAACTGAAACTCTGCAGGAATATTCTTTGTGCATGTATGAGCTAAAGACTTTAAATTCAACTATCGTGCTCAATTTCGCCAAGCATAAATTAACGACGAAGTTCGCAGTTGACACTGTGCCAACTCGAAAACTAGCCGGGAAGCAATAGCTGAAATTTTATCATAACATTTATCGTCCATATGGAAAACTGAATATCTAAATTGAGTTTCGTTTGCACTTGCGACACGACTTAGTGTATTTCAAAGATACTTGTAGCGAAGTGGCCATTTCGCTTATCGGGCAAGTTCCGAAGCTGAAATTTTGTAGGGACATTCTATATTTATGTGTGTTTTTTAATGCAGCTTGAAGATGAAATTCCCTGCACGCAGGCAATATAAACACTCAGTTTTACCGCAATATCAAAGCCGAGTGCATTTATGGATTTCGTAATTCTCTTCCGACTTCCTTCAGGTTTCCATTTTCCGACAGAAGACCGTTCACAGGCTACTGGGTTTCATGCAAAAAACTAATAATCATGCACAGTGCAGTTCACGCGGCTTGGTAACAGTAGCCTCCTCCCCCCCCCCCCCCCCCCCCCCCCCCCCCCCCC